GCCAGTGTGATAGTATTGAGTGGATCGTCACTCGGTTCTGACCGCTGTGGAGTCCCGCCACTGTGTTGACGGAGCGTTCAGCATGTGACATCCAGTTCTTTGTAGTGCAATGCGATCGTGTGTAGCGCCTTTCATTTACCAACTGTTCCTCGAGCTTCTGAAATTATGGCGAGGAATATGAAAGCGATTCGACTATACCAAAAAGTGAGGCTCCTTGGTACTGTATGGCTCTATAGCCAGTTTCAGGAGCGGCATTCTTTCATCCAGGGTAATTTGCATGTATTGTGCTGATGATGGCATGCACCAGTGAACTATGTTTTATTTATTGCCTTTATTGCCAGTTTCATTTCTTTGCCTGTTTGTGTGCAAACTTGTAGTTTTTCCTGTCTTGCTATCTTGTAAATATAATGATGTGTAATCTTTGTACGCTTTTCACACCAAATGCATGGATGGAAACCTCCTCAGCGCATGCCATAACAAGGACCCGGTGATAAAAGGATAGAAAGCAACAGAAATGCAGCGAGCATAAAGTCGGTATTGAGGCTGGTTTCGTCTTATATTTATCTTTAAACGAGAATACGCGGTCAGATCACATTTTTTTATTTGGTCCATAGATTCAAGGCAATGAATCAGTACTTTTAGTTTTCACGAAGATTAAAAGAACAAGTCTGCTCGCCTCAATAGAATCGTGCACCGGATGTTCATAAGCATAATCCGTCAATCATGAATCGCCTCTAACCTGCTAATTTGCATTGTGCCCTCTTTCCCTATCCTTCAAAGCCGTTTTACCGGAAACCCTAACCTTTCTGTCGAGACATCTGGGTGGTCCACTCTTCCTCTGACTTCACTCGGGCCGCCTAATTGGTTTGTTTCCCCTCCCACGTGACATATTTCCTGTCAACATCGCGCCTCATTGTTGTCTGTGCCCGCCGGCCGTTGCCATGCATTGGCGCTTTGCAACCAATAGCCTGTGTCGTAAGCGGTGTTATAAATTTGGGAAGTTTGAGCAACCGAGGCGTCACTGCATCTCGTCCCGTCCCACTTTGAACTATACAAGATAAAGCTCACTGGACGATGACCGAAATACCGGTGTTATTGATTCAGTGAGAAGAGTCCACACGACACTATTTAATCAACGTCACCGCTACCGCTGGCGTTATCGCGCTTCCGTTACAGCCCGTACTTCCGCCTGGACCTCTGCCATCGCCTCCCTCCCCTCTTTCTCCTTTCCCCTCTCTCTCGTTCTCTTTCTTTCAGCCCTTCTCTCCCGCCCTCTTTCTATCTCAGTCTCTCTTTCTCTCTTACCCTTCCCCGCTTTCCCTCCCTCTCGGCTCTCACACTCATCCTCCCTGTCCCTCCCTCTCTCCATCCATTTCCCCTCTCTCCTCTCTCTCTCTCTCTACTCCTCTCCTCTCTCTCCTCTCTCTCATTTCTCTCTCTCTCCCTCTCTCTCTCTCTCTCTCTCTCTCTCTCTCTCTCTCTCTCTCTCTCTCTCTCTCTCTCTCTCTCTCTCTCTCTCTCTCTGCCTCTCTCTGCCTCTGCATTCACCCCCGGTCTCGCAGCGCCTACCACCGCTGGCATACCTCCCAACTTCCACTGCCACTGCCCTCACAGAGGTGACATGTGACGCCGCTCTACGTCCGGTGAAAGGCTAGCCCAAGCACTCACTGGGGCCACGGACGGGTCAAGGTGGTGGTTCGGCTGAAAGAGGTGCGAAAACATGCCGTAGTAGAGCCGGTGACCACAAAAAAGTGTCGCTAGACGCCGTGGCTGTCGTGACAGACTGGATCAGCCCAATTTTTGAAGTCAGTTCTGTCATGTAAATTGGTATCATCACGCACTAATCACTCGGTAACGTCCATAACTCATGGTTTGTACTGCAGTCAATGATAAACTGCCGAATTGTCGTTAAATTTTTTGTCAATGGATTCAGGTAAAGAGGCTCTCTGCAATGCATTACATTCATTTATGCGGAAGCTGAGGACGCTGTGAAAGTATAGGTGCGCAATAATCATGCACGATGCACAAGTCGCCTGGGAAGTGTTACCCGCTCACTGTGAGCAAGGCCAGCCCGTACTGACACTATGGTAGTACAGCCAGCTCTCCCTCCCAGTGATCAGATTGGCCGAGCTCCGGCCGCCAACTTTAGCCATTGCCTGCATCTAATCAGGCGTGCCATGACTAGGCCAGTAGGGTGACAGGAGAGGCTTCTACGCTCTTTGTTCAACTGAGGACAGTTTTCGCCTCGGTCAATGCTCGTGTTTGTGTTTATAGGGCTTCACAGCCAAACTGAAAGCCGGTTACAAGGCATGTTAGAATTGCTGCTCCTGCTGCTCCTGAAGACATTAGCTTCTGGCAGCCGTACCTACTTTTGCAAGGTGGTGTCTATGAATTCGTTTATATTTTGGAGAGAGAGAGAGAGAGAGAGAGAGAGAGAGAGAGAGAGAGAGAGAGAGAGAGAGAGAGAGAGAGAGAGAGAGAGAGAGAGAGAGAGAGAGAGAGAGAGGGCGGGAGAGGGCGGGAGAGGATGGGAGAGAGAAATAAAGAAAGAGACTGCGAGATAGATGCAGAGAGAGGAAGATGAAAACCGGAAAAGAAAGAGAGGGAGAAATGGAATGGAAAGGAAGTAATCAACCATGCTGTTAATGACTCCTTGCATTTGCATGGCGTGAAAACATTTTGGGTCTCATTACGCCTATGACCCAATCTGTCATGGGCCTCATATGAATCGTCTATCCCTACATAATGAGGGAAAACATGCATGTTCTCAGTTTACTAAGAGCTTATCTTCGTAGGGACAATATAGAACATCCGTCCCGGCGGAAAGGCATAAAGCAATATTCTTTTTGGCTGAATTCATTGATGAAGCTTAGTGTTGACGCGTTTTGCCGCTTTACCAGCAGGATAACTTCAATACGTTCTCATTGACTGACGTCCTCATCGGTTTAATTGCACACGCCGCCAAGGAAAACTGCACTCAGGTCTGTCGTCAACACCGGGCCTCATCAGGGGAGCTCGCCGCCCAGTCACCTGTCGTACAGTCTGACGCGTCTGTTCCCCTTTCCGTTGCCTCGGGGCTGACGGTGTCTCAACTCGCTGTTAGCGGCTTTGGGCGGCTCGCTCAGGGGCGTTGGGTGACTCGCGCCTCGCTCAGCGGCTATAGCTCTTTTAGCGGATTTAGGCTTGTGTTTGGTTTTAGGCAGTTCCTTTGGCGTAAGCGGCTGCTAGTGACACTGGACTGGCGAATTCGGACTCCCAATAAATTTCAGTAGCGCTAACATGGGATAGAATATTGTTTTATGGGGGTGAAAACCAAACGAGCGTGATTGTAGTACAATGTATGGATAAATTGGTACTAATGAGGTTGTTCGGTAATTGGAAGACAAAATGCGGCAATGTTTTTTTTTTTTACCGTGCCTTGCTGGTGGTCTGAGTTTTCCGTGTCTTGCTGGGGGTAGGGGGTTCACGCCCCCCCCCCCATCCCGGCTCCTTGGCCACATAGCGACATGCGATAAGCGGCATTCGAAAGAGGGTAAAAATATGATGGAAATGCTTCGTTATTTTTTAGGTCAGGTCAGAGGTCAGGTCACTAGAGGTCAACAAAGGTCAAATTTTTCCTATTTCAACAATTTTCGAAACACCCAGCGCATAACTTGGGAACCAATAGAGCTACAGCGACGCGGAAAAGCGCATTCGATAGCTCTTTCACAGATATTTCCGTGGATTGCTCTCAGATTTGACCTGAGGTCAATGGTTTAGCCTCCAGCCAGAGGACAAATCAAGAGAGCCACGACATTACTTTTACCAGCATCGTGCTCCTCTCGTCGAGACGTGTCGAATGACCTATAAGTTGAAAATTTGACCTCAGGTCCAGGTCATGACCTGACCTTAAAGGATGCATATAAGTCGATCCATATCGTCGAACGGAACACATCTGACGTGTCTTCACCGCTCTAGCATAGACCTCAAGAGACGTGCACGTAAAGTTATAGCAAAAAAAAAATTCTAATGACCTTTCATGACCTGAGATGACCTGGAGGGGTCACGCGTACAGCTTTCCGATTCAGTGTGTCATGTTTATGTACTCATGGACCGATGTTTGAGAGGGTTTAGAACGACATTCATCAAAATGAGGCGCATTTCAATTTTCTCCCATTGACTTATAAAGGAGAAGTCGCAAAATTGACCTGACCCTAGGTCACAGATATCAAAATTCCAAGATGTGCTTTTATACATACTTACATACAAACATACTTATACATCATACATCCTTATACATACTCATATGAATCGCTGAAAGTTTCAAAGTGATCGTTCGGTCGGAGTATACCTACAGCGAGCCTTTGAACTTTTCAGCTGAGGTAGGTAAGGTCACTTAACTTGACGTTATCTCATGGTGACCTGACCTTGAACGAACGGGGTCTGAAATTTTCACATATGCGGAAAATATGTATGAACAGGTGTAAGAAACGACAGCCGGCCCCGCCGTTTTTGGACATTCGCGAAAAACCTTAGGGGGGGGGGGGGCGTAAAACGCTGGGTGGGGGGGGGGGGGGGGGCGGGGGGAGGCCCACCCACCCAGCACGGCGCGGGTTCAATATCATCATACCGTTTGCATTTTTACTTTCCCGCATATCTGATAGCGGAGAAGAGGGGGTGGCTCAGGTGGCTGAGGGCTGAGTGGACCCCAATCGCATTTACATAAATAGTTAGCGTAAAAATCGGTGGATAACAACAATACTTATGCCATTGTTCTTCTTGGCCTATGCTGAACTGTTCAGACTGTGACCCAAAGGACTTTTGGTGGTTTTTTATTATAAATTCTTCAACACTGCATTTTTGTTGCATAAAATGGAACGTAAAGTCAGTATCAATCAATCCCAAAACTGGCGAGATTCATGGCCCCATGTTGTGCATATGGTGATTTACCGATGAAGGAAACTGGTAGCGATATGGCAGCTGTAGCATGAGAGATATACCGGCGCAGCAATACACATTACGGCGCAGTCAAAGTCACTCGTGAATCGTGTTCAAGCATGAGTTTTGAGTGCGTTGTTACGTTGTTGTGGTTAGAATAAGTTGCAAAACAGTTGCAAAAGGTGATATTCACGTTTTTTATTATTTCATAGTGTGCGCTGTTTAAATAAGTTAAGGCTGTATATAGGGAATAAGTCACGTTTGCGGTTACTATCATGCTCTGTCTCAGAGCGAGAGCATATCAATATAGGCTACAGCTCAAGCTCGCGTTCAAACATCAACAGATGCTCGTTATTCGTAGATGTCATTTGAAAAGTCAAAACGGGACGGTTTATTTGATCGATATTTTTTGTCTTTCAAAGAAATAATTTATTTCAGAAACATCAGGGTATTGGGTTGGTCGAATCCGAATGCTTGAGCCTGATGGCTACAGGCTACGTGTCAAAGCTATAGAATGCTATGCCGCACCCAAATTAAAAAGATGAAGATGGGTATATTGGCAAGATTCTTCAAGATATTGGGCATTGGGTTGATTTGAGTCTTTGTCCCTGTGTCCCTAGATTCCATACCTTTGACTCTAGCGTAACCAGACAAATTTTGTATACGGCAACTGCAATCCAAGCTGTTATCCACTATCTCTTTCAGTATCACTGAAGCTGAGGTCCACACTAACTTAGCTGCTTTCCATGTTATTCAATGTCCTGAATATGAAAATAATTCTAAGGCTAGGACAGGGGAAATAATTTTTTTTTTGGGGTCTGTAGCGTCTACACTCTACAGTCTTTACTCACCCCTATAATATTGTTCCATTGGATATTTGTGGAATTCTGTGCTACTTAGCAAAGAGTTCAAGTATGAAGCAACCTCTATGTGGTTTGAATAAACCAATGGTCTAACTATTCAATATTTTTCTAAGAACATGCCTGTCAAAGTATGTTATCATCTTTGAGTTTTGACTAAATTTAGAATTGTGAGGCTAAGTGTTAGATGATTTTTAGGTATTTATTGATTATTTATTTTTAGATACCTTCAACAAAATCCTCATACCTAATCTACATATTGGGCTCTCAATTACTAGGTCGTTCAATAAGTAAGGTAAAATGTACCATAGTTCATTTATTTGAGGAATTCAAGCAAAATCAAATATGTCATCTGAATCTTTGAAAAATTGTCTACACAACCTTCGACACTGTTTTTAGGAGTTTGGTTCATTGTCCGAACACGGTACGCGTGAAACCATTGATGCAGCAGAGTTCCGTTCTAAAAATCCCCGGTTTGTCAGACGAGCCAAAATTCACCTCAGAATGGGTGATTTGACCCTGATAGTGATGACGCTATTGCCATTAGCAATGCTTGCTGGTGAACAATTGTTACGACGATTTCGACAAGAACACAGCAGTGTAAGAGGCAAAGTTCTAGGTAGACTCGTACCCGCATGCCTCTCTGGATTTGGCACAACCTGTAAAGTCGGGGAGCTGATTATGGAGATCCAAAGCATCCGTGACTGTTTTCATGAACAGAGTGAAGTGTTATGTCGAAACAGTTCTAGGCATCATCTGATATGCTTCATATTAGTACATACAAGGTCTACACGAGGTAACTACAGAAAGAGCTCACTGAACAGCAGGACGCCCCACAAGGCATCTGCAGTGTGGGGTCGGCTTTCCTTTAGCAGTACAGGGAAGCTGAAATACAGCCGTGATCTGGCGCCGTCCCACTTCAACCTGTTTGTTTGGACCACCGGAAAACCTGCTAGGTACTTTGGAATCTTAACTGATCAGGCAATCACAAAAAATAATCAGGACATGGCTTTGGAATAGCAATAAGGAGTTTTCCAAGCAGGATTTCAACGCCGGGAGGAGTGCTGGGATAAGCGCGTGCGCCTAAACGGTGATTGGATGTAGGGTCGAGTTCCATAGGCTGGGGAGGCTGGGCGAAGAGACCTGCTAATAACTGCTTATAGCCAATTTGTAGACGAGATTTCAATGAACATATGTTGCTAGTTTTGTGTTGTTGCACCAAAGGTAGACTGAAATACGTGTGATTTTACCTTACTTATTGAACGACCTAGTATGATGACTTTTAGGAGGAGAGCACTTTACTGTGGTCTGCAGTTAGACTATGCTTGAGGTTACATGTAAATGGCTAGGCTACATGTAAGTAGCCTTTGATTTTGAGTTTTAATGCCACATGAATCATGATGCATCTGTGTTTTTTTTTTCAGTGCAAACTGCAGAAAGATTATTGTCATATGCAAATAAAAACAATTATATTTATATAGCTGCCAATGTCATTGTTATTGTGATTCCTCTTCAGGTCTGGGGGGAGGGGGGGGTGTTGCTGCAACATTCTAGATACATTATGCTATGCATAATACTAAAAATGTAAAGGACAATGCACATATTTTTGACCACTTTAATGTGTCTCCAGGGGTGATTATTCAAGATGATTGTTGAAAAGCCAGATGCATTGAAGCAATGGATGGCTGATATCTTGGAACATATGTAAGTGCATGCAGCTTCTTATTTTTAATTATTGTGTTGTAATGCAAGCTAAATATTAGTTTGATTTGTGTACTGCTTTCTATGATTGGTAATCACTGAGGTCTATTATAGGCGATCAGTCTCAGCCTCTCACTTCCCAGAATATGTTTTCTTTCTCAACCTATTTTTCAACTGAACACTGTCCCATCCCTATGTACTTCTTCTGATCTGCCTGTTTCATTTACCGCTGACATCACCTCCATGTGACATTACAGGTCTGACGCACAACCAACCAAGCTAGCGCGCTATGTGTTAGCGCTAGTACGCAAGGCGAGCTCGCCGGAGCGACTGCGCACCACCATGCTCGAGCAGCTGGATGTGTTTCTACACGAGGAGACTTCTCTGTTCGCCGATCGACTGCTGGCAGCTCTGGCGTCGGGCGCGTATGCGGTTCGACCCGCTGAAAGCCGCGTGGTTACGTTACCCGCGGCCCCGCCGCCCCGCCGGCTGGTCCAGCTGCCCCCGGAGGAGACAAACAGGTGAGGGAGTGGGGTGCTGAGTGAGGGACTGGGAGAAAAGGGTGTGGGAGTAGGGAGTGGGTCGAGAGTGATGATTGGACGATTATCTTGCCAAGTGCGTCATTTTCTTGGACGTTTTGCGTTTCAAATGAGCTCTACATATGACTCTTTGTGGTATCGATTTATTGTTTTATCGATTGAATGGGAGACGTATACGAAGTAACTGTTATGGAGCCAATTTCGATGTTGTATGTTAGAGTATAGTATTATTTGTGTCAACTTCTTATGGTAATATTTCAAATTATTCATAAACTTCAAGTTCATCATCAAATGCTCTGTTGTTTTTCGCCCAGTTCCCCCGGCGCGCCAGCCGTGTCGGACCGCCTCGGTGACAAAACTAACGGCACTGCCGCCGGTGCCGATTCTTCCGCCCGTCCGAACAGTAACAGCATGAACGCCTCGAGTCGCGACAGTGGAAGCCCAGCCGAGAACTCGACAACAAACGGTGAGTTCCGGCATATTTCGATTTGTTGGCTGGAAGATCGGTGTTGGATAATTCCATGTTCACGAGGTTTTTGAAACTGTTGTTTTCGCACATCCTAGTTTCCATTTTATGTTTTATAGTGCTTCTCATCATCATATTTTAAATTACTGCGTTATTTTGATCCCTCTGTTTAAGCCCCTCTTTTCCTTCCTCTCCCACTAACCACCGTTTCTCTCCCCGCAGGCACCTCAGCGCCGGCGTCCGCTGACGCCCGTCCCGACGCCCGGCCCGACGCCCGGCCCGACGTTCGGCCCGACGCCCGACCCAGCCCCTTCACCGACCTCCGTCACCGTCTGGGCGGTTCGCTCGGCAGGAGGCGTGGTCGGGACGCGAACGGTGAGTGACCTGCGCTCCGTGGAACCGGCCGACACCACGGCGCAGATCGCGTGTGCCGTGCCGGCGGAGATTTGATCTAGATGGGGCACGGCCACCTGCGCAATACGTGATTTGAAAGGCGTGGTGATCATGATGATGCCGATATGATGATGATGGTATTGGGACTGGATTCTGAGCTGTTCAATGCGGTGGGGTCGGGTGTAGTGTAGGGCTAATTTGGTTAGTACGTTGGGTTTACGGGCGCGTCTACTGCGGTCATTTGCGCTCGTAACTGAGTTTAGAGGGTTCAGCGTAGCTGCAATCGGTGTCGGAATTCCCGGTCAGAGTTGACAGTCGTGCGGTGTACTGGCTGGGTACATTGTGTATTTGGGTCCGCCCAATGTCACCGTGATGCGTCGGAGTAGGGGCTATTGCGCTGCTTTTTCAAATCATGGGCGTGGCTAGCTGGATTTGCTGCACAAGCATGAGTCTCTCTCTCTCTCTCTCTCTCTCTCTCTCTCTCTCTCTCTCTCTCTCTCTCTCTCTCTCTCTCTCTCTCTCTCTCTCTCTCTCTCTCTCTCTCTCTCTCTCTCTCTCTCTCTCTCTCTCTCTTCTCTCTCTCTGTCTCTCTCTGTCTCTCTCTGTCTCTCTCTGTCTCTCTCTGTCTCTCTCTCTCTCTCTCTCTCTCTCTCTCTCTCTCTCTCTCTCTCTCTCTCTCTCTCTCTCTCTCTCTCTCTCTCTCTCTCTCTCTCTCCGTTTCTTCCTCTCCTTGCATGTGCATGTTCCTCTCACTTATCGTCGCATTTATCTCCCCTAAGATCAATGTTCAAGGCTGTTGCTAATATCGTATACTTGAGTTGGGATCTTCGGTGTTTAACGGTCAACTAACATGACTGGAGCTGTGGTATGGCATCCGGGTGGAAAATTGACGGCTTCAGAGTCCGAATGGACATTCAGACGACCGACTTGTATTTCCCAACTTCAGATCGTACTGAGGCGTGTAAGGGAAGCAGATTGGACATTTGAAGCTATCGCAGACGATTTAGCTCAAATATGGCCTTGTGTTTACCGCAAGGATTTCCATGTCGCTGTCAGAAAATAGCACTAAAGAATATCCGTTATCGCTTCCAAAACAGATGGCTATGCTTAAATGGAATTATCCTCGCTATGCTATGCTACAAACTCGTGTATTTCGCTCGGTCTTTGCGCACCAGTCCATCCGGCCGTTTTTACTAGAAATCCACCGTCCGATTTATGCACCTTATCTGAAGGTGCGGGTTCTCTGAGAATCATTCATTTACAAGGAGCACGCCATCGTCAATATTACCCCGATACAAAGCTCAGTGGCTGTTTTGGAGGATGAAGCAATATTCATTGTGTGCTTTTGTCTAAACTCGGTGCTATGCTTGATTGTTTTTAGGGAGCTTTTTGTCGAGAAAGCAATCTCACATTATGTAAGCCTGGGAGATGCCTTAGCTTAGGTTGTAGTTAACTTGCTTAGAACATGGCGGCTGTCTCATAACTCACCATTTTAGGCATGTGATCTACCTCGTAGACAGACCTATTGACATGTCGCCTGTTGCCATGTGACCTGTGGTGACAAGCTGTGAGATGTGACCTGACCTTTGATATGACGTGTGACGTGCTACACTCTGATCCGTTATAACCTAACCAGTGGCCTCCCCTGTGACCTGACCCGCACCCTCTCCCCCGCCAGAGCGCAGTATAGACGACAGCCCTTCGGAGTACAGTCCGGCGAAGGTGACCACTCCCGGCGGGCCTGCACCACTGGCTCCGTTCAGCCAGCCTCAGCCCCCACCGGCCGCCGCGGCAGCCGCCGGTGAGTAGCTAATAAACACAGCAGCGGATTTAGCACATATCGACTCGTTGATAGCTTTCAGTCAGTACTGACAACACACAGGGGTAGCCTCTGCGATATCCCTCGAATAACCCTAAGTGTACGGGGAGTGATCTCTATATGGTTACATGTCGTGTTGTCGGGTCATTATCTGTCACTGTGCTATGGCTAAGACTTGTGGCTTCGTGCCAGCTATTGTCTGTTCAGAAGCCTTTCGTAATCCGTGACGCCTGACAGTCCCGTATCGAGCCAGGTGTGAAAGGGAAAGGGGGGGGGGGCTATGTATTAAGTGTCATTTGGTATAGAAACATTCGTTAGCATCAGAATTTCTCTGGCGAATTCTAGTTCCGCGTTGTAATCCGATTGGACCGCCATTTTCATGAGACGCCTCTCTTTCTCCAGTCATGCCTGACTATCCTTTGTTGAAAATGGCTCGTCACCGGCGTAATATTCCATTTGGGGCATTGCTTCCTTGTATGATACTGGCCGGGACCGTACGTCAATCTTTTTGAGCGCGCTGTGGCTCCGTCAGTACCGCTTCCGATTCCAATCCGTTTGCGTGTCCCTGGCAGCAGTCTGTGCAGTGTGTAACTTTCATTTGTCTCCGTGAGTAGTCCCGGTAGTCGCATGGGGCTGTTATAGTACCTTCTGCGACCGGTCTTGCTCGTGTCATGTAGTTTCCGCAGTCCGTTGTCTCTGGCAGCTCATAGTACCATTTTAGATAGTCTCTTCGTCTTCCCTCGCTTCCTGAGGCTATCCGTGTAACATCCCGTGTCTCACATGTCTCCCGTTGTCTCTCCGCTGTCTCAGAGCCGTCTCATCCGGAGCCGATTGGTCAGACAGTGTGCCTTTCTTCCCTCCCGGCCGCATCTGCACGACAGCAGGTCTCTGCGCTGCCCTCTCAGACTGCCAGCGTCGATCAGGTCAGTTGGACGGGCCATGGTGGCGAGGGATCGAACTCCGCTCTTCAACTGACTTACGGCTTAATATTGATGGGTGTGCCTAGATATGTCACAGTGCGCATGCTGTTGAGGCGTCTCTGTTGTTCTGCGTATTGCTGCGTAGTGTATGTGCGGTACGGGAAACTACGGTCACGCGTTTCGCAGTAAACTCATCAATCCTGTCGCTTTTGTGGGATTTCCCACTAGCTAAACCGATTTATTTACCAGGCCGTTGGCGTCTTTGGCTTGCGTTTGAACAAGGATTGATTTGTCGTCCATTCCGCTCGCGACGCATTTTCTCGTGTCGTCTTGTAGCGGCGTATGGTCGCTCGCGACGGAACAATGACGAAACATATTTATAGTCACCGTGCAAACGTGTACGTGCTGACCAACGGTTCTCTAACCGGTGTAGCTATTTTATCGGGTAACTTTTTGAACGTTTTTTAGCTTGACGATTTGCTGCATATCGTATGGAGTGAGAACGATCGTAGGATGCTAAGCATGAACACTAGGATGCATTTGAAATCCATTCCACAACTTGGTATGACCGGGAATTATGTCGAGTGGAAATGGCGTAACGCTGGAATTACGTGACGTGTGTTCTGCGGACTCAACGCCTATCCACGTTTCCAAAAGGTGGCTGATATTTTCCGATGTTTTGAAATTCCCGGTCAGTATCTGATATGGCAGTCACTAACGTAAGTGCGGTGGGAAATCCACTTATAAATAAGTGGCGTTGGGAATAACAGCTTTCCGTTTTTGGACTTAGTGGGGAAGTTTATCCACAGCTGTTTGTCTGGAGACAAAAAAAAAAAACAGCTTTCTACATTCAGAAGTCATTTCTGATCGGAAATCGATGTTTTTATTTAAGTTAAAACAGTATCCAATTTTACCGATGATTTTTAGTGGAACACCTAATTAAATTGCTATGCACGTTATTCAAAATGCAATATATAACTCATTGGATCTCATTAGATTTTCGTGAAACAGCAGTCTCACAATTTATGCGCTTATCCAGCTGCGTAATCTATTTACTCCCAGATTTACTCTCAGCACCGTGATGCCTGAAAGGCCCTTCAAGTGATCACCCCAGCTACGTTTCACCAGACGGGGGAGGGGCTGAGAGGGCAGGGAGAGGGGAAGGGGGCGTATGGAGCGACACGGCTCGTGCCGCCTGCCCCGCCACGAACTCCCGAGATAGCAGTTTCAAGGTCACACCTGCCTGAGGCGTCCGTGCGTGGGGCGCCCGCCGCCGACTGTGGTATATTTAGCCGCGACGAGGGCGTCACACGCAACCGTGTTGGTGCGGTTGCGTCGTGCCTGCTCGTGCGTAGGCCGGCATGCGAAGTTTGTATTATTACGTGTAGTTGTCTTATGTGAACACAGGTCAAGCGGTTTAGCGTATGTTTGACCTCGCGTTAATGGGAGATGCGTTTTACGCTGGACAGGACACTATAATCGACCACCGCAGTCGACGCGCCCGTAAACCCTAATGAACGAACTATAATCACCTTATCGTGCCCCATATCCCCCTTTTTGTCAATCGTTCAGCCATCCTACACGCCCTATTTACAGCTAGTTGACGAGATACATGACCTTGTGATCGGTGTTTTTAACATGCCTACACGCCATTGTGGTCATTCTCGTCCACACTTTTATCGGAATTCGCACTATCTCGATCTGGTTTAACCCCTTTATCGTCATGCCTCCAGGATATTGTTCCGAGAAGTGGTCTGTCTTGCTGTACTTTTTTCTGACAGACATTTGTTTATTTCCATGTTGATTCGGCATGGCGGTCACGATTTTATCATCATTGGTGCCATAACTTGGATGAAACGGATGCTAAGGCTTTGAGATGACCACTTTTACCGGCGGTTTGCTGCGATTTATTTGTAGCTGTCATCCGCAGTGGCAGCGCTTAGCGTGAAACGGTTCTGCGTCGTTCAGGCTCTGAAGCTGAACGACCCTATTTCACCGGCCTGGTTCACGGCTCCGGTTGAGGCGTGTGCTCTCCGACGGCGGCGTGTACTCACGTGACCCTTGTTGACTACGACGTGCCTTGCTGTTTACCCGTTATTTATATTCGAGCATGAGTATTGCGAATACGTAGTTCTAAAACTTCCACTGGGTATCTTGCATCTAGTTAAAATCACATATCGGAATTTTACGCTTTCGGCCCAGTCTATGGATCGATGTCAATACAGCTTCTTTATCAAAGTAACACTGGTTATTTTAATAAAGCTGTTACTTGTTTCGTCCCTCGAACATCCATCAAATTGTGCCAGAACTGAGTTTAATCTGTAGTCATACTGCTATTCATGTCATGGATAGACTGGACATTTTACTCGATGGAGCAATACCACGACAGTCTGGCTTCATATTGTCGCCACTCCCATTTCCGTAGTCCGAAGACGTTCATCCTAATTATGAACGAGTCCGTGGCTGTGGTTTGAAATGTCATCACTGTGAATTCGTTTCGTCTCACCACAACAGACAGAGAAGATTTTATGTGCGAGCGCTCATGTCCTGCGAGCGCTCATGTCCAAAAACAGCGTCTGCTTTGGTGTAATTTCTTGAAAGATTGTCTGTGGAAATGACAAAAACATGTTGGTAGAAATGGTACATGGCTAGATATGACGTCGTCAACCAATCCCCGTTATGGAACCCTTGTCTGCGAGTTTACTGTTGATTCGTGTATAGCCGAGCTGACTAGCCATGTAACAGCTTCCTAAAAACACAGCTAAACCGATTACTCGACTAGTAAACACGGTGGACTTCCCCCAACGCGTCGTATGACTAAAATTTTGCACATGTTTCGAGTAAGCTGGGTATGCTTAATGCTTATGACTGTAGAATTCCGATGAGTACAGCAGTTAAGTTCAGGCACGTAGCTAGGATTTGGCCAAGGGAGGGGCGGAGGAATCCCGGGGGCCTCCTTTCTACAGGGGGCCTCCTCCCTAAAGGGGCCTCCTTTCTACAGAGGGTCTCATGCCTACACAATTACATATACAACATAATGCATTTACTTTTGTTCAGCTTTCATATGGCAAGCGCACTGGTATGTTTCTTTATTCTTACCGCTGCAGGCTGCAGCGGTAAGAAACATACGCATATCACAAGTCTCCGAGTGGCATGATAACGGGCAAAAAAAAAACTCGGGCGCCGGCGGCGGCCGGACCGCAGCAGGAGGGGGAGGATCTGCGAGGAATGGGAGGATACTGGATGACGGTCAGAGTAACACTTGGTGTATTATCATATATCGTTCAAGCGCTTAACCGTATTCCGGGCGGGCTCTGAAAGACTCTGAATCGGGCGGGGGCCTTTTCTGGCCCCCGTCAGAACTCGAAAAGCACGAATCGTAGCGACAAACGGCAAGGGCGTTTGATAGTTCGTTGAACGACTTACAACTTTTGTAAACAACTTTTTTTTGGGTCAGGTCAATATTGAGGTCGCCAGAGGTCATAACAAATAACATGGTTTATAACGACCTACATAGATAGGTCAACTTCAAAATCTAACCTAGGAAAGTCACGCTGGGTACCAATCGACGCGTCATGACCAGGCGAACGGTTTGGTACACTAACAACTATTTAGCCCCATCATGTCGTGATTTATTGGCTAAAAACTGTTGATGACCTCACCTCACCTCAGATGATCCTTCCCGGTGCTCCTGTCAGTAAATGCCACCTGGGTGCTTACAGATCAGATAATCTGACGTAATTCAGAAAGAATTGGGTGGTTTTGACTCGTTTTCTCGAAGCAGGACACAGTTCATTACCTATATTTTCCAATAGGCTTGTCACGATTCTGACCTTACTGACGTCTGCAAGATTGAAACTATACGGTTATCAATTCTTTCTGTGTGAATTATGCCACGTTTACTTGCTGTAAGTAACACATGGTTTCGTTAGTAAATTTTCCTAGGTCCAGGTGGTTTGCTTCATTTACGCCGTAGATGAAACAAACAATCGATGGATAGGTATAGGTATATTAAGTTCCCGGTCAAATAAATTATTATGAGTTGTGCGAAGCATGGCTATGGGAATATCACCACGGTCTATTAAATGGTTTGGGTAATTGCATCCATCGTAAAAATACCTACACAGCCACAGGTATATATTACAGAAATGGGCTGCTGTGTTCATGCATTAACCCGCGCCCTGCCGGGGGGTGTTAAACACCCCCCTGCAGTTTTCCGTGAATATCTAAAAAACGGCGACGCGGCACACTTTATTCTACATCATTTCTACACATGTTGTGAAAATTTCAGACCCTGGTCACTTAAGGTCAGGTCACCAGGTCAGGTCAAATGACCTCACTACATAAAAAGTTTTAATGTCTGCCAAAGGTACACGGAGTGACCAAACGCTTTGAAACTTTCAGAGATGCAAATGCACAAGAGCGACAAAATGCAAAAAATGTATGTCTTGGAATTTTGATATCGATGACATAAGGTCAGGTCAATTTTGCGACCTTAAATTGAAAGTCGCCTTTTTAGACGGAAGTCATTATAAACACTCTAAAACACTGAATTACTAGTATCTTTGACACATTGAACATGAAAATGGCACCCGTGACCCTTTCTATAACCCTGAGGTCATCTCAGGTCACGAATGGTATCTGACTGTTTTTCGCGAATAACTTTTGATAGAGGTATGCTAGAGCGATGAATACACCTTAGTTGTGTTTGGCTCGACGATACGGATGGACTGATATGGATCTTAGCCCTTATCGGTCAGGTCATGACCTTGACCTGAGGCCAAATTTTCAAGTTGACCTTTCAAGGTCAATTCATAGTTCATTCCACACGTCTGGACGAGAGGAACACGATGCTGGTAAAGGGAAGTTCGTGCAAATTTTGAGACGAAAGTTATCGCCGAAAACTGGTTTCCGAAAATATCGGCCATTTTGGCAGTTTTTGCGGCCACTGCAGGTAAAACCGTTGACGGGAAAACCGCTGACGGCACGCGGCATGATTTCTCTGAGCGCATTTATACAAATAATTTGTCTACATAGAATAGGGCCTTCTGTTTACAGAGGACCTCCTCCCCTGTCCCTTCCTACAGTGGGCGGCGACGCGGTTGGGAGTCTATTCTGTACAGTTTCCTGAGTTCTCAGTTTTCACTATAGTGAGAACTGATAACTCTCTATAGAGAGTAGCAGGGACCAGAAGCCAGAAGGTAATTTGCTCACAGTGGGCCTCCACTCTATGTACTTAATATACGACGCTGTCTTTGACTACCGGGGGCCTCCTGCCCACAGAGGGCCTCTTATCTACAGAGGGCCTCCTCTCTGCTGAGGGTGTCTCTCTCTCTCTCTCTCTCTCTCTCTCTCTCTCTCTCTCTCTCTCTCTCTCTCTCTCTCTCTCTCTCTCTCTCTCTCCAGAGGGCCTCCTTTACAGAGGGTATCCTCTCTACAGAGGGCCTCCTCTCTAGTCTCTACAGGGACCTCCTCTCTACAGAGGGCTTCCTATCTATGTAGGGCCTCCTCTCTTCAGAGTCTCGTCTCTACACAGGACCTCCTCTATACAGAGGACCTCATCTCTGCAAAGGGCCTCCTCTCTTCAGAGGGCCTTCACTCTACAGAGGGCCTCCTTCCCACAGAGGACCTCCTTTCTACTGAGGGAATCCTCCTCTACAGAGGGCCTCCTCTCTTCAGACGATCTCCTCTCTACAGAGGGCCTCCTCTCTTCAAAGGGCCTTCTGATTTCAGACGGTTTCTTCTTTACAGAGGGCCTGCTCTCTACAGAGGGCCTCCTTTTTTACAGAGGGCCTCCTTTTTACAGAGGGCCTCTTTTTTACAGAGGGCCTCCTTTTTGCAGAGGGCCTCCTCTCTACAGGGGGTCTCCTCTCTAAGGGGGCCTCCTCTCTACAGAGGGCCTCCTACCCACAGAGGGCCTCCTGTCTACTGAGGAGTCAGAGGGGCCCTAGCGGTCAGACACAGACACTAGTGGTTATTCACAGGAGATGAGAAGGGCCCTAGCTGTCACTTGTCAGGCTGGTCAGAGGGCCCTGATTGTTCTGACGTCATTTTTTAGATTCCCGCGTGAATTTCGTTCGCCTCCGACGTGATTTTGGCCAACGTGGGCCTTCGGCCCACGTTGGATTCAGGCCGAAAGGATTCAGGCCAACGTGGGCCTTCGGCCCACGTTGGCCTGAATCCTTTCGGGGGGCCTCCTGAAAACCCCAAGGGAGGGGCGGGCGCCCCCTCCGCCCCCCCCCTTGGCTACGTCCCTGGTTAAGTTCTACGGGCTATTCTGAAAATGTATATGTGACTTTGACTTCATGTGCAAGTGACTTTTGAAGTTTATTGTTTAAATTTAAATACTTGGTATTTTATCGTTGCTCGAAGGGCAAACCTCACTGCTCTTCAGAAAAACACAGACAACATCGTCACAAAACAAGTTTTTTTTCGTAACCGCAAGTTTGTGTTTTAAAGTTGAAAACACCATTCTTTACAATTGTGTTTTTGCTGATAAGCAAGCGTAGGTTCCCAGACAATTTCGCATAACGTGAAAAATAGATAGACTATAATTTTGAGGTCGTGCCTTTGTCATACGACCAGCATTTCTCGCATATCAAATATTTTATTTCTCATTCAATGCGCCCCGGTGGGGTCTGTTTATACTGCGACCTGGTGGGGGGCTATTTTTGCCCCCCTCGCATCTCCGGAACTACGGGACGGATACGCAAAATTCAAACGGCGTTCGAAAGCCCTGTCAAATTTGTCGTGGGAAGTCCAATTTCATTGACCTCGGGGTCACCTATGACGTCACAGGTCAGGTCAAAGATAAAATGTTTTGCCGGTCACGGGTCTTCTAGGGAATGCGCTATTACATCGAGTGAAACGCATTTTATCGAAAATCAGCGATAGCGCGTCAGTTGCGTAGTACCTACATATGTTGCTATTAGAGGTCACTGATAATACCTACCAGGTCAGGTCACCAAGGGTCAGCAGTCAGCATACTAACCCAATTTCACTAGGGCTGTGTGATGTATGTTTCATGGCCAATTTTTCATTTCAAACTCAATGGTGTTGGTTATAAAAACATCAGGAACAGTTTAGGCCACTTCCTGGTGGAGGTCAGGTCAAAAAAGGTCAAATTTTCAAGTTGATATTTTTGCTTAAAATGGGTATCGAATCGATGCAGCTCGTCACGGCGAGTCTAATGCTGGTCTTTGTTTTGTGCTTCGTGGTCTAGAATTGCTAAAAATTGAGTGAAAATTTGACGTCATCAATTTTGAACAGTTATTTTCGCTATAACTTGGTCAAAAAGAGTTATCGATCTAAAATTTGGTATGTGAATAGAAGTCGGTAGGGGCTATCACATATACGAGTATACCGTTTTTTTTCGAAAATCGAAAAACTTTTTGGATTTGTCGGCAGTTATATTCTAAAAAATATTTTTGGGGGTCAAAATTCGAAAAATGCAAAATTTCGAGATCGTAGTTTTGTAGCCCTAATAATTCTACACCTTTTGTGTCTTGAACGTTTTTCTGTATCTTCAAAGCTATAGGCCTGACAGCTCTTCCCGCGAAACCTTTTTTTTTGGGCCGTAAACGGCAGAACATGACGTCACTCTGACGTCATTTGCGGACAACCTATCATAGCCTTTGGAAATTTTTTTGGTCGCAATGTGTAAAATTGATGCCCGGGAGGGTGCTGAAAGTTTAGTGACGATCGGCGCAGTGGTTCTGGAGATATATCGAAAAGTCCGGAGGGGGGGGGGGGGCAAAAAATAACCCCCCCCCCCACCAGGGCGCGGGTTAAAAAGTGCATGTCGTCTTCCACCTGGCCTCTACACCTGTGTGCGATTCAACACTCCGATGACCTCTGAGGAAATTGTCTGGTTATACGCGCATTTTGTTTGTCTTTGATCGTTAATTAGCACACGGCGTGACGTCAGAGCGGTTCTATCCGCTCGGCAGGCTGGTCAATGGATTAATACGGTACTGTCTGACTGGTATGGTTGGCCTGTGACCATCCAGGGCAGGGACACAGCTGGGGCAGTCAACAGGGGTCAGGGGAGGTTTTTGTTCGATGACCTCACGTTCGATTTATTAATCCTTAGGTTCTTTTACATTTGATGGTTGGCAGTTGCAATGGAACTGTTGAATATGATATGTGCCTTCGATTCTCTGAAGAAGTGTTATTTCAATCAGACCTGTCGCTACGCCAGATGAATTGTCATGTTCTTTGACAGCTGTAACTGTGAAACTGGATTCGAATAATTTATAACTGAATTGATTTGTCAGATCATCGTTCCATGTGATCCGATCTGTCGTACATACAAGGCTCACAATCCAGCCGACGTGTTTTGTGCTGTCGAATTACGTGACCTGATCTTATCTGACGTAGTGACCTGACGTGACCTGGTCTGACCTTATCTGACTTGACCTCACTTACAGAGCTGCGCGCGGCCCCTCGACACCTGCAGTCTCCACCTGAAGGAGATTCCGCCTCACCTCAACCAGATTATGCCGCTCAACGACTACATGTCGGAGTTTGGCCGCGTCGTCAACATACAGGTTCGAACAGGCGCCGCGCCCTCTATGCACCGGGGTGGGGAGTTGTCTGTCCACGTCAGTAGTACAGGTCACGGGCTTCAGTCTCTTCACGTTCTGTCCTGTCTGCACGACGTCACGAGTGATTTCGTCAGGGACGTGTATTTAAATGTAAATTATCAGATAGTTACACGGTAAATTGATTTTTTTTCTTGATAACATTCCTCGCGAAATGATTTGCGTCGCTAATCAGACATCTGGTGGATTTCGTTTCTGATACGGTGGGCGGATCTGAACTATGGCCGGCTGTCGTGTGGCGTTATACGGGTCAGACTGGGCAGGTTGGTTCACGTTCTGTGATGCATTCGCCGGCTCTCGGGGGTCAGTACGGGCGGCTGACAGTGCTAGTCCGTCTGTACTGGCGGTGGTGTCTGGGCGAGGGCCGGGTACCGGGTAACTTTGTATACGTCGGAGGCCGTTCGACCTCAGAGCGGCATTTGACGTGCCAGGATGGTAAGTTATTCGGTGAGTGCGGTGTGGGTTGTGCCCGGTTTTCGATAAATGCTGATTCCCCAGGCTCAAGTTTCCCTATTGCGTCACGGTTGCACTGCGTCTCGTGCCTTACACAGCTGTGACACGTGCAACAATGCCTTGCACTTCAAACATGTCAAAAATGGACGTGCTTGGTATAGTTTCCCGTTTGGGGCTGTACCGTAAGGCGTGGCCTCCATTGTTTCCCCGAGTCCGCCGCTCGTGATTCCAGGACGCGGCCCTCTCTTGTGGTTCCCTTCCTGGTTTTTGTGATTCCCGTGCCGCTTCGGTGTCGTTCCTGCCCTCGGCACACGCCAACTTGTCACAAAACTTATCGTAAATCATGACCATGACATGCTAGGCAGAATGCTTTGAAAGTTAGTAACATACAGGGAAGTGACACATGTCTCGTGCTGTGTGAAGGACTCTGTGGTTTGTAGATCAGATGTGTATTGTTTGTCTTTTTGTTATGCTGATCCGGTTTGCAAGGCTCATGAACTTTGCGTGCCATCTGCGGCGACGTACTTTATTCGTAGCCTTTTCATTGTCGGTATGCTCGTGTCAATATCATTCAACGGCGCTTAACTCTTACTTTCATTTCAGTCACGATTTACTGTAGCTGTGTCCTTTACAAACTGCATGCCCAGTATCTATTACTGCTCTCATGGGGTGTCTGAACAGACAGGACCTTTTTCCTGCTGAAAAAAATGATGTAATCAGGCTCACGATCGGATAGCTCTCACATCTTCTTTTCCCTTGTTATACGTATATGGGCTCCTTGCATTTATTTCAACGAACTTCAGTCTCAATCAGGATAGAAGAAACGAAGAATGCCGATTCAAAAGAACGGCTCTTTTGGTTGCAAGTTACATCTCATAATGCGTGTGATAGCTAAATCTTAGCACAGATACATGTTGATAGATGTGTGTGATCTTCATGTTTAAGTTGTATGTCGGCTTTATCAAAGACCGTGTGGCGAACCTGGGCATAGCTGTTTTATTGTGTCTTTTCGTGGCAGAATGCGGTGATAATATGCAGATAATATCGTACTACGAGTTCCTTGCGGTATTCGACCTGTAATATTGCTTCATTTGTACAACTGCTCAGGCCCATTGTGAAATTTCGCGCGCTGAAAATGAAAACATGCGTAAATTCCCTAAAGTTACACCCTATACTCGCCTTGTACGTTATTTATCAGACAGGTGATATGGTAATGGTCCGAGCCGTGCCGCGGCCTTATCTTTCCTGGCCTGATTCGTCGTCTTGCCGACACCTGACTTCTTCGGGTCATTACCCTTCATTCGGATATAATCCGTCAGTGGTGCTCGTAATGTTTAACAGCTCCTGACCTGACCCTCCAGGTGTCGTTCGGATACAACTCGTCAGCGGCGCTGGTTATAGTTATCTGACAGCCCCCGACCTGACCTGACCTGACCTAGCCTGGCCTTTTCCCCAGGTGTCTTTCGGCTGCGATCCGTCGGCAGCGCTGGTAACCTTTGACAGCTCTGAGGAGGCTGAGGCGGCCCTCTCGTCTCCGAAGCCAATCCTCGGCTGTGCTCAGATCTCAGTTCGTCCCCATGGAGACAGAGCGGCCTTTGGCGGGCGACAGGTGAGATGTATGGTAGTCTGAGAACCGCAGATCTACAAAGCCGTGTGTTGTTGCTCAGACGAAGTGTTGGATTCGTGAAAATGTTTATAAAGATGCGTGTAACGGCGGTGGTACTTTGTTGTTTTCTAAGAATTGCGATGTCATATTCTTGTTTACTCTGCCGACTGTGACTTTGCGTGAGAAGTGGTTTGTTTAGTGGTTACGGACCCGCTTTCTTGTAATAACGCCTCGAGATTCTTCTAATTCGTGGCGTAAGGTGTGCGCGTATCTCTCATACACCGTTTTCTCACCGCAGATGGCGTTATCTGGTTTAAAACGAACTGTGGCAAACCCCGACGCAGCACGACGGAAAAGTGAGCTCGACTCCGTATCACAAGCATCACATCTACCACAAAATAACGGTGATACAGCTCCAGCATATCCAGATGACTCGCCAGCGGCGTCCCAGGAACAGGACTCGGCCGACGATCAGCCATCAGCACCTGAGGTGTGGCAGGCACTTCCACAGTCACAGCAGCAGGATCAGACGTCGGCAGGACTCTCCACGGAGGAGACAGCGGAGGCGCGCCGTCAGAACCAGGAGATCGCAGAGGCTCGACGCCAGGAGATACGCCGATCGCAGGACCTGCTGGCTGCCAATGTTGCGCTGGAGGCCAAACGCAAGGAGAAACGAGAGGTGAGAAATAGTGTGGAGGAAATTATGGGTGCGCACGCTTTGCTTTCATGTTACAGTGGATAGATGCCACGTGATTTAAAAAAATGTGAGTAAATTTGCCCTTTTATTGTTTCTCATGTCTTTTCATTGCAAACTGAATGCAAGAAAATTCGTTAGCGCATGATGGGCGAATAACCGCTTAGAATAGCATACTCATACTCAATATCAGCCTCCTTACCAGTTCAGCCGGTCTTGAATTTACTGCCGTGTGCCCCCTCAGGCGGCGCGCCGGCTGGCGGCCGAGCTGCCCACGTGTCCCTGTCCCTGCCCCTGTCCCTGCCCTGCCCCCCTGCTCACGTGTCCCTACCCCTGCCCTTTTGTCCGTCAGGCGGCGCGTCGTCTGGCGGCCGAGCTGCACCGCCGGGAGGCGGACCTGTTACAGCGGCAGCTGGAGCAGCAGCGGCACCTGCTGGCGCGTCTGGACAGCCCCGGTCTGCGGCCGGCCGAGCGGCAGGCGCTGCTGGGTGCTCTGCGCGCCCTACAGGCCGCCTCTCAGAGCACGCGCGCCGGGCTGACGGCGGCCCTAGAGCGCGGAGCGGCGCCCCGACCGGCGCCCGCGCCCGCCCACAGGGCGCCGCTGAGGAGGGCGCACCCGGCGGATGGAAGGGAGGCGGGGACCACGGACCAGCCGGCGACTAAACTGGCGGCCGGTCTGCCGCAGGAGGTACGGAGTGGTAGGGGCTATCATGACAGATAGACGTCTTTAGCTGAGAGGGCGCCAGCTGTTGTGGTGTCTTACATGTGGCGGTGTCGACTACGTAGTACTTTTTTTACAGCAAAAATAGGAAAGCGACATTAACGTTCAGACACTTTCAATTTCCTACATAATTATGTTCAGCTGTTCTTGGACTGCGAGTTACGCCCATCAAAGGAGACCGCCGGGTATCTATCAAAGGAATTACTACCATTCTTCCTAGACTGAACGGGAAGCATTGGACCCTATGCCAGAAGTAGTTGCCTGACCTGCTGTGTCCCTTCCCCAGACTGAGCGTGAGGTGCTCGATCTCGAGCTAGCCTTATACCAGAGGCAGCTGGCAGGAGCGGAGACGGAGGAGTTACAGCAGCGGCTGTCCCGACTCCGACAGGCCGCCGTGCCGACCAGAGGCCGCGGCAGGGGTGCCAGGTAGGACGGGGATGCTCAGACAGGGCCGTGACAGTTGTTACTTCGTGTTCACGCTTAGGTCGTGACTCAGAGTCTGGTTGTGCCAAGTTCTAGCGCCTTATGCGTTCTATTCTCCGGTTACTTTAGGTGGACAACTTTGGTAATCTAGCTTTTGATAAACGAAAGCCTTGCACGCTTCTTGATGGTTTTGTCTATAAACTGCCTAGCTTATTTTGAAGATACATTGGCCTTGTTCAATGTCCATTAGCATTTTCCAAGCGTTCCATTCATCTCTGACCACCCTCCTTCCGCAGAGCGCGTGGTCGCGGGCGAGGCGGTGCCGGCCGCGGCGCCGTTCCCGGTCGGTTCTCATCCATTGATCGGCGACCGACCACCCTCATCGTCTCCGACTTCGCAGCGGTCGGCCGGGCCGCCACCGTCGCCCATTTAACGGTGAGGAGAGGCAATGCGACCCCAGGCCTGCTGCCTGGTTTATCACTGTTGGGGTTTGAGTTTGGTCGAGGGAATTGGTTATCTGTTTCTGTGTTCTGTTTCTCTAATACCCTATGCGCTTATGCTAAGAACTTTCCTGGATTTTGTCTGCGTTTCAGCTAGCAATAACATTGTGTCAGGTTGTTGGTTATTATGGGTTCCTACCTATATTGTGTTCCTATTCATTTCTGCAGATCAAGTCTTCTTCTGGTGCTCGTTGCACAGCACTCCTGTAGAAATTATCGCTTCTGCAGATATTATTTGACCTCTAATATCCTCTCCTTTCATCAGAGGTTCGGCGAGGTGACAGACTGTCGGCCGGCCGGCGACACTGGCGCCGCCCTGGCGGTGACCTTCGGTACCAGGCGGCAGGCGGAGGCCGCGCTGGCAGGGGGCGCCACTGTTGGCGTGCACCGGCTCACCCTCGGCTGGCCGCTCTCGGCGGCAGCAGCAGCGGCGAAGGCGGCTACTGATGTGCAGGTATGTTGCGCGGTGTGCACGGGAGCTGATGACAGCTATTCATTGGCATTGGAGATGTTAATCAGATACCAACTTCTTGGTATACCAATACCAAACCGATACCAACTTGTTATTGGGTTTTTCAAGGCTAATGCTTTTGGTATTTTGCCGGCATTGTCAATCGTCGCTTATGTAAAAGAGGCTGTGAATTTGGTAAAAAGTTGGCATTTCCCTCATTTTCCCAAGTCGGCTCGGTTTTGGTATTTTGCCATGGTTATTGCTGGTATTTGGTTTGGTATCGGTATCACAATTTTCCGTTATTGACATTTATAATTGACATGACGTGTAGTTATTGTAGTGAGTGAGGATCGATTGTTCATTGATATGATTTGGTACGATACGATATCATAACTTTTGCTCGTGCCCATACTTAGTCTCGAGTTCCATTGCTATTATTGTTCTTATCAATTTCATTTCAGCTTCAGCATTAATTGCACAGATCCAAGACGAGCAAATATTTCAACCATGTCTGTTACTAGGACTACAGCCCTGCTTATCAACACCATCCCACACCATCCACTGTTTGACAGACTGTCGAAATGGACACCGGCGCCGACCAGGCAGTGGACGCTGACGCCGCTGAGTCTCCGACCAACCTCTCCGACTTCGAGGACGACGAAGGAGACGATGCTGACGACGAGGATGACCGCTCGTGGCGGCCGTAAGAACGGTTCTGCCGCAAACGGTGCGCGCAGAACGGCCCTACTGCAGACTGTGCACGCAGAACGGCCCTACCGCAGACAGAGCGCGCGGAAAGAGCCTGGACGCTATGGCCGGGGTTGAATCTCATGTTACTGAATGACTGGACTGACTGGAACCAAGGCATTGTTACATAATGGTCACAGGGTAGGAGTTGACTCGATACCAGTCAATTATGGTCTCGTTTGGCTCTTGGTGCGTTCCGGTGACTGGTTGACCTGCCAACTACCTCAGTTGGGAGGTGAATCAAGCAAATAACGTGGTGGACAATACTTATCGAAGTTGGAGTTCTATAAAACTCGCCGGTATTTTGCCTGTGACGCAGCCAGGCTGACTGCAGTTCTGGTGTTCGGATTTTATGACGGGGAAAAGTGATGTTGCTACTTACTCACCGTTTCAATGGTTGGAACTCGGTGTCTTCCAAATACCAGGGAGGACAAGTCTTTCAGACATGCTCGTGTTGGATTGCCGTTTCCGCGCGTGTGAAGTATAAACCGTTGACAATAAGGATTATTTTTGCTGAGATAACTCGTTGGGACTGGTTATTGTGAACATTGTCACCCTGCATAATCTGCACAAGTCGCATTTCGTGGACTTCTGTTTTTATCGTTACCACTCAAGATTTCCTTCGTTGTTATAACGATTGGCTCACGTCGCTACTTTGTTGTCCATGATGGTCTCACGTAGTAAACGTTCGTTTCACCTAAAACGCTGTCTGAACGGAATTGTGTCGTGTACCGTGTATGAAGTTGATACACTTTTGAAATGCATTTGTCTCGGGAGTGTCGCGATAGCAGCTCTGGAGATGGAAATGCAAATGTCGGCCTCTCCCTGCGAAGCCTGACAGACTAGACAGTTATTTTGTCGAACCTAATCTAGTCACCCCCATCTTTGCTAGGGCGCTGCTGTTGCCATGGATAATTTTAGAGCCCACCTCATAATAATTTGATGTGCCGTGTTGTGTGTCGTTACGGTTTCCTAGGCAACAGCCCGCCCTGAGTGATTGCTGTGCCTTAACTCGTGTGGTAACCGGTTTTCACGTTAATGTTCCCCGACTAATTATTGTTTGAAGTATTTAAGAAAATAAACGATATATATGTTTCCTAGGCTCGACTTTTATAGTGTCCCCATTATTTGCATGACGCTTGGTACGACCCAGGGCTGGAAAAAGTGTTTCGGTGGTTGTCGTCCAAAGAAAAACGGGCTTATTTGGTTGTCAACTCAAGATGTCTAACCCGCGCCCCGCTGAGGGTCCTTGATTTCCACGCCCTGCTCAGGAGGGGGGGGGGGGTCAAACACCCCGCCCTTTTAACTCGGATCCTGGGTCACGTAGTGACAAGCAGGAAACGGCATTCGAAAGAACGTCCGAAGATAAGGGAAGGGCGAAAATATGACATTCGTTTTGTAGGCTAAGTCAAAGGTCAGGTCACCAGAGGTCATTAAATGAAAGATATTGCCTTTCAATATTTTTTCAAAACCCGCGCACAACTCGGGAACCAATTATATAGAGCTGTACAGCGCCGCGGAAGATACTGCCCTTTTGACCCTTTCGGTGACCCTTCGACGGTGCCACTGGTCGACTTCCACTCACCTTTGAACAAAACGTGCTCAAGTTGGTACACTTCAGTCGTGCAGACGCCGTGTTCCTCGACCTTGGAAGTCCCGAGACACCATATCCCCGTGGGCATGTCATGGCGTGCCCTCCCCTCGGCCTCATCAAAACATTACCGGCACTGACACGGTCCCACTCAAGATGTCCCGCCGCGGACCTACCCCCAGGCGCCACCGGGGTGGGTTTTGACGTCACAAAAGGAGCCCCGGCGGATTGGAGGGGACGCTAACTGGCCGCCGGCCGGGGGCGGCGCTGAAGGGTGCGGGCAGGGGCCGGCCGTATTCCAGGACCTGGAATGTACTAGATTTGCCAGACACGTGTTGCCAGCGGACAACCACGGCGACCACTTGGTATGCCATTGGTCGTCTTTATGAGGGTCACCGATCGGCCGTCCGAACGGCATATTTACGTCTGGACAACGAGTTGCGGGGAAAAGTGCTGATTTTGCCGCAGTTTTAGGAGCCGGTTATTAGGCTGGATTTTCGGGTTACTTTTTCGTTCTGATTCCTGTATTTCATGGTGTTTCGCTTTTGAATATTTAAGTTCTTTCAGAGAAATATTAATTGCCTTACAGATTTTGTGAAAATGTTTCAGTTTTTTATGAGCCGACCGCTAGAGTCCTAAAACAATACATCAGCACTACAATTATTGTAAACAAACAAATGGAGCACCACACAGTTGGCTCCGTTCTGCTCCGTTCCAAGGCCTTATCTGATGGTTTTCGAACTCTTGTATGTCAATGTCGTTTTGTTGTAAGTTTTGAATCTCTTGTGACTGAATTATATCATATTAAAAGAAGCATTTTGACTGAAAACAATCCCAAGTTGATGTATACAGGAGGCTAAGAGTCCTCAGTTGTGAGTCATGAGTAACATCAGGTTGAAGTTAGGAAATGTTGGTTGATAAATGCAAGTTCAAGTTGATCTGGCTCACTTATCAGCAAGAAAAAGTAAAATTAAAAGAGCCTATTGGCCGAAAACAAGCTATAATATTGCAGGAGATCAGTACTGAAGAAGACGCGCAGTATCAAGCCAGAAAATGTTGGCTGATGAACGCGTATTGATGTATTGGTATGAATATTGAAATATTACTTACAGGCTACAGCAGCAAGATCAATGAGTGCTAACTGCCAAGTGAAAAAATCTAGAATGAACAAACCCGGGCAGCTTTACTTTGCTATGCAGATGGTAATGTGCATTACTCAGTGTCTGGCAAATGAAACATGCGATCATTCTATTGCTACTGGAAGAGAAAGCTTGGATCACTAAATCAGCTTTATAGTGTTTAATTTGATGTTCATCATTACTTTGCATTTCTTGAAAAAGGATTTAAGTAAAATTGTCAAGGTGACAATCCATGCAACGATGTGATCATATCATGTGTTCCGTGATGGTGATCAGTGTTGATTGGTCTAATATACAAAAGCAAAGCTGTCAGCATTTCTTTCTGTGGATGACCAGAAGGGATTCAGAACTTGAGAAGTATTAGTTTTCTTCACAGGGCTGGGATAAAAAGTACTGCCAGGGTAATCTTCCAGAAAGGAACTTTATTTTGACTTGGTATGAGATGTAGGCACAAGTAGGTAGGTGCGCTCAGTACCTATAGTTTAGCAGTTATGTAGGTTTAGTTGGGTTAGCTAATATTAGGTCATGTTAGTTTTTTTAATTTGCCAAGTGTCCATAAAAATGTGACCTGATCAATTCATACCTGACTAACCTGACCTAACCTCAATCATCACACTTATTTGCAACTTACCCAAGACCTGCATAGCATTAGCACCCAGTTATAGGTACTAGGTACTCACCCTAACTCAATCTTACCTGCTAACCTTCAACTTGATAACAGGTAGCTCACCTTGCCAAACCACATCCAGGGAAACAGCCAAATGTGGAACTGGCTCATTGGGTGGCTGTTGTGAGTCTGTGCATTTTAAGTGTTTCTTCTCTGAAGCTGCTCTGCACTGCTGCATGCCATGTTAGATGCTCAGAAAAATGTGGGAAATGATAACTAAGCTAGTTTAGTGCTTTGTTCATGCTTGAGACATCAACAAGTACAAATCCTGCTGGGGTACAGCTATGAGCTAGGTGAGTATGTTATTTGAATATGCTGTTTGACTGTAGTAAATATGCAAACAATCACAGGGTCACAGTTAGGTATATTCAATCTCCGCATAAACATACAACAAAACGCCCATAGCCTCACTCCGAGCACACAACAAATAACTTAAGCATTTGCAAGCACAAAAATGCTTTGATTTACAGGATAGGTATACAATATATCCTCTGTCCTTGGGGATCTTGCTGCAAAGTTTGAGTTGAAGTAAGATGACTAAACTTCAGGTATGATTAACTTTTTCTTCTTAGCCACTGCTTATGTACGAGAAAGACTAAATGCTTGGTTGATCAACGCCTTGAAAATTTAATGATCCATCTTCAATTCGACATGAAGGCACAAAGAAAATAGTTCCCACTTCTCTCTCCTCTTGGAATACACAAAGCAAAATATCTAATAACTTCTTCTTCTTAGTGGAGGGGCATGGACAAGAGCAATTATCATAGCTCAAGCTTCCCTTCAAGTTAACCTCTGGCAGTTGGCACTGATCACACGGACACCTTTGATCCAAGATAAAATTGAAATGTGTAAATCTGTCTAGTCAATCATGGAAGGAACGGATGAACTTGAGGTCAATATGATATTTTGCGATATACATCATCTTCACCTTGGAACTTGTTTGCTTTTTTTTTTTTTTTAGTGGCCCTAACTTACGTTACCGGCCTCGCGAGGAGGGCGGCGACCTAACTACGCCGCGCAAAACAAACCGGCCGTCCTAACTAAGACCGGTGGCCACTTTTACTGCAAGACAACATGGGAAAACCCATATCCATGTACTATGCCATGAATATGGGGAAAAACCCATGAATTTACGTTAAGATACATAAATGACAGTGAGACTTACCGTTAAATTGATGTTTGTGAGGGGAGGGAAGGAGGAAGTTTGTGAATGGTAGGGTTACGATGTTACGATGAAAGTTGGATGATAGGAATGGTTTGAAGAGTGGAGGATATGTCGCTGCCGCTGTTGAGGGCCGATTGTTGTACCCGGGCCTGTGGTCGCCCAAACCCGGCCGCTGCCGCTGTTCAGCGGCCGGGTCCGTGACTGAAGAATCCTTGGCCGCTGCTCGTCGTTGTGCAGTGGGTGAAGGGACAGTCCCAAGAGTATGTGGACAGTCCCTTGCGATGATAGCGAGAAGGATGAAAAACGCTTTTCGCATTCGTTCGGCGACTATATATTCCTTGTAATGCGGTATGCTTAAGGCCAAGTAAAGGTGCTTACTTTACAGTTTGTCGGAATAAGGTGAGTTTAAGACAAAATCAAGTACTAGATCAGTAAGTGCTGGATCATCTCCGAGAAGAGTCGGAAGATCGTTTCTGAGGCGATATTTTGTAAGGTAGTTGTTGATATGTTTTCGTTCGTTTCGGAGGGCTGTGCATCCGATTAGAATGTGCTCAACCGTAATGCGTGTGTTGCATGTTTGGCATATTGGTGGGTCCGTCCTTTCGAAAAGATGACAGTGGGTAAAACGAGTATGTCCGCATCGTAGCCTTGCCAGTGTAACCTCGCGAATCCTATTTGGCTGGTTGCAAGTTGTCCAGGATGTAAGATTTTGCTTGATCGCATATAAATGAGGAGAGTGGGTTTGGTTCCATTTGTTTTGTAGGTAAGTATTAAATTTTGTTCGGAGTTTGTGGCAGACGTCCCCGATCGAGAGAGGCACCCCACTAGGGTCTGCTCTCATTGCTCCTTCCTTAGCGAGGGTGTCTGCCAGCTCATTCCCTGCGATGCCACAATGACTTGGCACCCAAAGAAAAGTTATATGCTGACTTTCGTCTAGTTCTAGTAGCATTTTGTGGATATTTTGGATGCAGTAGTGGGTGACGTTATCAGTTCTTTCTAGAGCCTGAAGGGCAGATTTGGAATCGGTGCAGATTATTGCCTGTTCAATGTGAAGTGTTTGTATATGACGGACTACCGTTTGAATAGCGTGAACTTCTGCTGAAAAAATAGTGGTATGGTCCTGCAGGCGTATTTTGTATCTAATATTCGGGCCCACGGCTGCCGCGCCCGTTTGGTTTGAAAGACATGAGCCGTCAGTGTAGAAGAATGTGGAGTCTAGGTTTCTCTGTACATACTCATGGAACAGCAATTGGGCATCCATTGGCGAAATGTTAGATTTTGAATCGTTAAAGAGATATTCAATAGAAATGTCTCGCAGGAGCCAGAAGGGAAGCATAGGCGGTTTAGAGGCAACGTTTATTTGGCCAATGTTGAGTATCTCATGAGCCTGATTTATAATTTCTGGAAGGAAGCACGACCTGCGGAGAGGTTGCCGGGAAAATGGTTTCCTGGCTTCCATCGCTGGAATTGCAGAATGGTTCGGAATACTTTTGGCGCGATAGTAGTATCGTAGGAAAAGGAAGTAACGGCGGTCTTCTA